TATTTTGACTCCTGACAAGTGCCCATTAGCTCTTTTTTTAAGCATGCATTAAATCTTACTAATGGATATCAAACCAGCTTAGAAAAATTGTAATTATAAAGCAATTGAAACACAGACTTTGGGAGCAAAACTAAGATACTGTTTGTATGCCTTAAAGCCATAAAAGCTCAGTCTTTTCAGAGAAGTGAAGCTGCATAGATGGGAGAGCAGAGCTTGCAGACAACGTGATGTGAATTAGCACTCCTCAGCATGCTTGGAGACTGTCTGAGCTGATTCTCAGATTCCAGAGTGATTGGGGGGGGGGGGGGGGGGGGGAACATTTGTTTACAAATGTGTGCTTATCTACTTACACATACACAGCACAACTATCTTGTTTTGCTTGTTTTTACTCAACATGTACAGTTGGAATGAGATATAGCAAACCTAACAAAACTTTCTTGCAGCTTTTTCCAAATAGATGCAATCAATTTTAAAATTGATAATTTTTACCTCTGTATTCAGTTTTGTTTATCTCCCTTTGCTTCCATCCCCCCAGGTTCTGTAAGGAATTATTTTGCCTATTATGTAGAAAGCTTAATTGATCTAAAGGGAATATTTTCCATAAGGGGTGCTTTCAAGCATCTCTCTCATGTGTCTTGTCCTTTGTTAGATTGAAACAAAAACAGCTCATTTGATAAAATAACATCTAGGAGATGGCAGTCTCTGGGAAATCAAAGGGAACACGTGAAGTTGCAAATTCTTGGGGTCTTGCCTTTTTTTGATAGATCTCCTTCATCATGCCGTACATTAATTTTAACTCAGGTGATATATGAACTTGGTGCATTAGTTAATGAAAGCTAATGCACAGTAATCTTGTCATCACTAGCTGTGCATGATAATTCAGTCTGTTTCTCGGAAGAGCTGTTCAACATGCAACAAATTTGATTTAATATTGACATGATGTACTAGGTTAGGTATTTTATTTAACAGACTGTGTGCCTTATTTAATGAGAAGTGGTTTCTTTCAACAGGTTATCTACCTGACTTAGTAGGCCAGGTGTGTAGTTTAATACAGTTATATCAAACACTGTCTGGACTGGGTATTCATTATGTGATTACACTGCACAGACGGGGGCAAATTCCTGAGTTTTGGCTCTTGGTGCATTCACTTAATGTTATCAGCGTGCTTGAGAGTAAGCCCTTCAGAGCGGAAGAGTAAAGCTAATGCTTCTCTCATGCACTGAAAGCGTAAAGCCCCTTCTGCCCCATTTGTGCACTTCTCTTGTGACTTCATCACCACTGACAAGGTCTGGCCCAAAAATCATAGAATCAAAGAACAGTTTGGGTTGGAAGGGATCTTAAAAATCATCTAGTTCCAACTCCCCTGCTATGGGCAGGGTCAACTTGGCAAAGTACAGTGTGGGGGTCTTGAATGGGAGGAGTTTGCCTAGTGTTTCTGGTCTGTAGTGACTGCTTCCAGTCTCTGTTTGGGTAGGAAATAGCAATTAAAGGTGGGGTGGTTAATGCTTTGATTTCCACAAAACACATACACACATTCTGTGGGCCAGGTTGGGCAGTTTGTGCTTTTTCATTGAAACCCTAACAGTGCCATCCTCAGTCCTCAAGCGAGTAAGAACTGTTCTTCTGTCAGTGTATATTTGCCTAATTTGTGTAGTAATAGGGGCTGGGTATGAGAATGTATTTCCTTTATTTTAATATGAAGTATATGAAGATATATCCCCATGCATAGAACACAAAACCATAATTTTATTTACTTTTGTAGCAGGTAAATCATCACCAAACATCTTAGTGTAGTGGGAGACTTTATATAGCACCCAGAAGATGTTTGAGACTGTAGCAGTATATATCCACATTGCTCTACTGAATACTCTTGTGCATAGATATATGTTTATGTCATTCGCTGCAGCACACAGGTACCTAGATGTTATCTGCTGCTTAAAGACAGCCTAAAGGTACAGAAAACTGGGTGGAATGTAGATGGTGATGTAGGTTGCACCGGCACCATGGAGCAGACCTGAGGAGTGGTACCCTTGGTGTGGGTAACAGGAGATGCCATCATGCTCTTATCCTTCGGTCAGCCTTCCAGGTGGGAAATGTGTATGCATAGGAATAAGAAGGGATATATCAGCCACCACCCAGACTGTACAGAGGAAGAAACAATTTGAGCTGATTTACAGCAGACTGTGGTGAGACAAGCAGCCCGAGGGAGAGCTGGGGAAGGAAGAGGCTGCTGCAGTTCCATCATGTGCTACAGAGTGCTGCGGCCACACAGGATCCTTTGCAAAGGCCATTTTATTAAGTTATGAGTTAGTAATTAATGCCAAATTCCTCTCTATTTCCTCTGTGGTTGGGTTTCATAATCAAAATTAAAGGTATGAGTTAGGGAGCAGATTGCTTCTTGAAGTACAGCTCCCTGGTGCTTAGTTCATGACCTTAGAGACATTTGTCCAGTCCCATCTCCCTTTATGGGTATGTAGGTCAAATGCTGTTGAAATAGTTCTCTTTTTCTAGAGCAGATGTGCTCAGTCCAATGCTACACTGCAGGGAAGAAGCAACAAGGTTAGGGAAAGAGTGAAGGAGACCAACTGTGCACTCCATCTACAGGATAGCTGCTGTCAGCTCACCCTATGCCCACCACAGCTGCAGCCTGTTGGGTTCCCCAGCCAAGTTGGGAACATACCATCTTGCACTTTCCTAGTTTATTTTGGAAGCTACAGTGCAGTCTGAGAGATCCCAGATGAAGACGAACCATAACTGTGGGATGCCCTTGTGTGAACCTAGTAGCCCAAATAACTTTCCTTTTTGAGGTGTTTCTTGCACAAGAAGTGAATCATGAAATACCACCTCTTTCTTGGAATATGTCCAAAGGCTGCACATGTCCTAAAATAGATTCTGTTTTCTTCTTCCACTTCTGTTTTCATTAGCCCCAGGTTTTGACATTCTGTTCAGAGATATTTTCACGGTATAGAATGCATTCTGATAACAGAAACTCCAAATCAAACATCTCATTCAGCATATTTCCTATTTAAATTTCTCCTGTACATTTCCCCTGTACTTATCTAAGGGCTGGCTTCTTTATTTGTATCACTTGTCTCATGATAACTGGTTTTGCAAAAAAAAAAAAAAGGCGGAAAAAGAATGTTTTAAGAAAGAGGAGAAAATTCCTTGCTTCTGCAGCCTTCTTTCAAGTCAGTGTGCCTTCCCTGTCCTGAAGTTTATTGATCGGAAAAATGTTCAAGTTGTTGAATAGTTTGTTTTCATTTCACAAATGCGAATCCAGATTATTGCGGAAAGATAGGAATGTATTCATCATTAGAATTTGCTTTACACATTCATTTATTTTTTAATCTATAATTCTTATTGAACTAGGAAAACTCACAGGAACACGTATCACCACAGAGAACAAAAAGAGCCTGATTGAGCCAAAAGGAAGGAGATCAGCAAAGCACTTTGCACAGTGCAAAATACAAATTTATGAGGCCACTTCTTGCTAATACTGAGAAATGTTGTTTTCCCAAAGTTGGGGAAGATACTGGGGGGGGTTTCTACATACCACAGGGCTTAAAAACACTCAGCTGGGGTACAGAATTTGGGCATGTCGGAGCCATTGGTAGATCTGCCTGTGTAGAGCATAGAGTATGTTTTTAAGCTCTCTTGCGAACAGATGCAAACTCTCCAGCTCTCTGCTTTCTCTGAACTGGAAGCTCAGTAGCTTTGTGACAAGCTGGGGATCTGGGCTAATTAGATGAGACACGATGCAGTGTTAATGTAGCCACATGTCCTCGAGTGTGCCAGTGGCTCGCATCTAACCAAGTAAGCAGAACAAACTTAGCTCTTTCTGCAGAACAGCACGTGGCTCTGTCTTGAATCAGCTCAGGTTCTTGTTGGGACCACTTTGCATCCCTCCAGCACAGCACGCTCCTAAGTTGTTTCATCTGCTCAGAGTTCCCGAATGAGCAGTGTTCAGACAGTTCCTTCTATCTCTCCCTGGCTGCTGTTGGGTTTGGTGGTTACTAAGCGAGGTTATGTCTGGTTTCACTGTCTCTCTCTGCCTCCCATTCCTCCTTTCAGGTCTCATATCATTAGGTTCAGCCACTGTTGCAGATTCCTTTTTGTAAGCAGTATGTGTCTGCCCTTTTAGTCATTCTCTCCTACCAGTATAGCAAGTGTAAAGCTGGGCCCTATGAGCTCTGGGGGGTCACAGGACCATGCAGCTGCAGGAGTCCATCCAATCAAGTAAGATCTTTTACCCTCATAATGATAATTTCCCACTCTAACACAACACCCTGCTGCCAAACTCCAGTAATAACGAGCCTGTCAGTGCATCAGTGCACTCCCAACAGTATCTAGAAAGTAGGGATTTTTTTTTTGCAAGCAAATTGAGACACTGGTGATTAGCAAGAAACAAACCAATGATTCAATGCATCGCTGGCCACACACACCAGATCATTGATTTTCTGTCCTGCTGGGCAGCAGCTGTTCCATTTGCTCTGCAGATATACTTTTTTCCTCCTCCAGAAAGGGCTAGAAGGATGGATGTTTCTCCAAGAACTGGAAGCAGCAGGCAGTTGCTTCCTGCGCTGGGCATGATGGGGTCCTTCTGAAGCTGCTAAGAAATCTGATGGTTATTAAACTCTATGTCTGAATGCATATGAATGCAGTGATTTGATGGAAAGAAATCTCCTGTAAGAAACTATAAAATTGCAGGACAAAAAATGCTGCCCTAAAACTTACAATCACTGAAAGAATTAGAAGTTTACCATAGATAACCTGATATGACTTCTCACTATATACCAGTTGTGTGTAATCAGTATCCTTACAGATCATCTAGTCTCAGCAGTGTTGCTATTTTCATAATCCTCGCCTTGCCTAGCTGGCTGCATTGAAATGGGATGTCTACTCCATAGTATTTCTGAGTTAAATGCATGACCGTGAGTCAATGGACCGCAATCTGCTCTGCAATGAGATAGTCCTGATGTTTCATCTTCTCTTGTTCCAAGGTACCTACGTGATGACGGTGACAGCAAATGATGCAGATGACAGTACTACAGCAAACGGGATGGTAAGATACCGCATTGTGACGCAGACCCCACAGAGCCCATCGCAAAATATGTTTACAATTAACAGCGAGACGGGCGACATTGTCACTGTGGCTGCTGGGCTTGACAGAGAGGTGAGTTTAAAAGCCATCCTACTGGGTTTCCTATTGTTGAGGGTTACCGACTTGCAAAGCCCAAATCCTGTTTTGAATACTAAGCCTCTAAAAGTTTGTGTTGTGACATGGAGATTGCGGTCTTTGCTTCTGCAGCAGCTGTGGGGCATCCTGGCTTTGATGTGGTATTTTTGTCTGAATCCATATCCAGTCGATGAAACCCTGGGAGAATCTTCAAACTCATGAAGCTGATATTTTTCTTGCGTAAATTTGTACAACTCAAAGATGTAGAAAATATTCCAGAAGGAGCAAGAGGATGAGTAAATTGGCATTTGTTCTTCTATTGCGGGACAAAGTGCCAGACATCGATAGCCCTTTCTAGACCTATCTTGCTTAGTTCTTGTGTATTACCTTGGGAAGGAGTTACACAGCCTATACTCAACGCATTTTGCATGTGTCATGATCTTTGTGTCATTTCCAAACTAGGAGAATGCCTTCCAGTGATTTTGGTTTTGCGTGAATCTCTGCTTTTAATGCCTCTTCTTCCCAGTGTTTTAGAATGTACAGCTTTTCCAAATGCAGGAGAAATTTCATTTTTACTGATAAAAACACGCTCTGTCAGTGGATGATTCTCAGAGCTCTGCCTTCTCTAGTTGTGAGTATAGCTCAGGGACAAAGCAGTTATACCTCACACGTTAAATAAAAATCAATGTAGCATCAGTGATGGGTTGGAGTGTCTGGGGAAGAAGGGGACACAGATCAATGGGTGTGAAGGGAGAGAATCCCAGAACTGAAATTCTTCTCCACTGGCCTGTGTGGTTCATAGAGTGTTGCCTGTCCAATGCAATTAGTAGATCTTGATCAACTAAATGATGGGAAGGACCATTTGTTCATTAAGCAAACAGCCACATGGCCATGAAGCAGATACAAAAGTGACAACTTGCATAGTCTTAGGTTTAGATATTTTAAGTTCGAGCAGTCCCCAGAGGTAAGATGTCCAGTGAAATCCATTCTGAGAGAGCCCTGTGTGCGGCATTCCTGGGAGGATGCACCAGAAACTGGTTTTGTTCTCCTTTCTCTCCCTTCCTCCCTCATGACTGATGGCAGGGACGGCATGAGCAGGATGCCCAACATGCAGGCTGATGCCTGGGTTTCCTGCCTGGGACACCCAGCTCAGAAGGGTGAAAACTCCCAGCACCTCAGAGGGGGTTTTTTGGCTTCAGAGCAGCACAGCAGCTTTGGGATGAATCCCAAATGCTGCTGCAGAGCTACTGCTGAGAGGGGATAAAAGCTCTGGCAGCAGCTCAGCAGCAAGCAGTGGGACCAGCATGGGATGGGGCTGCTGGCTGGGAGTGATGTGGATCTGGGTCTTGCCCGAGGCACAGTTTCAGGGCAAGCCAACCCAGGGGGAGGCACTGTGTGAAACAGCTTTCCAAGGAGAAGGTCAGGTGAGTGAAGAGCATTCCAGATGTGAAGACAAGAAGGAGAGCTGGAGGAGCACCAGAGCCTGTTCCTTCCCACCTGATGTGGCAGGCTTTGCTAGCACAACCTGGGGCGGATTTGACCTTTCTCTGCTCTTTTTATGTAGCGAACCAGAAAGTCAGCTGAATCTTAAGCAGGTGGATTATCCTAGGCAGGGCTGAAGCCTGCAGCGTGCTTGTAGTCAAAGAGGAGAAATAAGTGCTGCGGAGATTGCTGGCAGCCCTCAGGGAGATGGACAGTGGCAGGGTACTCAGAGGAAAGATCTGAATTCTGGCAGGGAAGTGCTGATTTTATGGAAACGACAGAAGTATTGTTGCCCCCTTGACATCAGTGGGGGCCAGCATTTTGAGGTAGGGCTTTATGGGCAGAGAAAGGTTGTTGGTTTGTATTTATTTCAGAGACATTGATTGAGATAGCTTAGTGGGAGAGAGGTTTCAATCTTAGTAAATCAGCTGAAAAAAAAAGAGGAAGGGATAATTAAGGGGGAAAGGATAAGCAAAACATCATCTTTTTCCAGTTTTGTCTTGCTGCATCTGAAGTATTCTAAAAACTTGCAGGGGAACCATATGCTTCATGTTAGTTCCCCTATTGCATTGGGTCTGGGAAATCAAGGCAAGCTGGCACATCGTATATGGAAATAGAGCGTTGAGTGTCCCAAGCTGGTGCCAGGTTGGGCAAGGGACACTTGGATGAAGGCAGAACAACCAGCTCTGGGCACAATCCTGGAGCTGCCCTCAAGCTACGAGACATGCTTATTCCCAGCACTCTGTGCTGCCTTGCAGGATTACATCTGGAATTGGCAAAAGTTTCTGGTTTATGAACATAAAATTGTGTTAAGTCTAAATTGAAAAATGTGTTTAAGCACTCCCGTAACTGTAGCACAGATTGGGACTTTTTGTTTTTGTTTGTTTTTCCTGGAATCTGGAGAAGGCTATTAGAGGAGTAAATTTGGTTTTGCTGCTGACATTTTCTTGTTGTTAGGAAAAGGAGCTGAAGAGCAGTACTTGGAATGCAGATTTGTGTAAATTAAAATGTTAACAAATCTGACCTATTCAGCTGAAACTGCTACAACCGAGATGAATTCCCTGGATACCAGTTATTTCTCCAAATGCCTATTGACACATTTATTAGTGCCTATGACACTATTATGTTAAGCTGTGTTGAAACAGAACCAGGTTTTCAGTCTCCATTGGACCCTTCTGCCTTGCCTCCTGCAATGCAAAGGTGCCTCAAAGCAGGCATGAAAATAACTGTCAAAGCTGTTCTGTATCTGAGACAGGTCTGTGTTCCAGATCCAGCATTTGTCTTTCAGAGGGGAGAAAAGTCACTTCAGAACTAGTATTTCTAGCTCAACCTTTCTGTTGCATGCCTGATACTCTCAGCATCTCTACTTAAATATTTATAGAATCATAGAACATTTAGTGTTGGAAAGGATTTTGAGATCATCCAGTTCCAACCCCCGGCCATGGGCTGGGACACCTCACACTAGGCCATGTTGCCCAAGGCTCTGTTACTGGTTTCTTACGTTACTTGCAATTCATGAGGTGTCCAAGAAACTGGATATGCTCCAGCTTGCTTTGTGTCATGAGAAGTGTTTTGGTTAACCTGCGAGGAACCTATTTTAAGACAAATTCATGTAGTTTGCTGCGGTTTCTAAACCCTCATTTCCACCAACCAAGGAGGAAATTAAAAACTCAGCCTCTCAAATTGTGCTGATCTCTCTAAATGTCTCTGACGCTGAAAATAACAAAATCAAAAGCCAAGGTGTTATAATAGTGATGGCTTTAAAGTTATCTTATCTGGTTCCCATTAATCTGGATGTAAATATGGTTACAATGCATGGTATCTATTCACTCATTATGACTCTGCTTAATTGAATGGATCCCCAAGGAAGATAGAGATAATTGGACTGCACTTCATGAAAATTATTAAAGGAGGACAGTTTAGCAACAGCCTGATTTAAGCTCCTGGATGCCTAAGGGTGAGAAATGCCAAAGGCGGAACAAAGGAACGTGCATCCCTTGAACTAATAGAGAAAAAGACAGGGATTTAGAGTATGCCAGAGGTTCAAAGGTGAATTCAGGCAGCCAGGCTTAGCTGAAAATGTTAAAAGCAGATACTTGCTCTAATACAGGGAAATGTAGGAAATCTGTAGCTGATTTAATGAAGCTAGGAGGGAAAGATCAAATAGTGCTAAGAGCACAGAATGTGTGGATTAGTAGGGAAGGCTGTGAGCACATGAGATGAACAAGTTGTAACAAAGTTCAGGGGATAGGAGAGGACCATACTAGCTTATTGAATTTGTGGCAGGCTGCTGCAGAAATGGGTGGTACTACTCGGAGGTGCTGCCTAACTCATAGCTTAATTTAGCAGTGCATCTGAATTCCATGTCATAGCTTGCTTTTTTCGGTGGGAAGAAGATCGTAAGAGGTAACAAAGAGTGACCTGTCCCCAGCTGGGGCTCAGAAGCAGGCAGAACATTCATATTTCTGTTTCTATATTCTTCTATATATTTCTATATATATTTCATTCTATTTCTATATATTTCATTCTGTTCATTTCTATATTCATTTCTGTGTTCATTCATATTTATCCACTCTAAGTAACATTTCTCCTTACACCCATGCAAAAGGGACCACATCTGTTCTGTGTGTTAGCTCATTTTGTCTGCTACTGCTTACCCTGGTGTCCCAGGCAGGCTTCGAGCCCAGACTGTCAGTCTGACAGTAAGGTCCTGGGGCAGAAATTCAACCCCATCAGCTCTTTTGATTTCTCTGGTGGCAGAATATCTGTCTCAGTAGTACAGTAAACCTGCACTGGGGCTATAGTATTGACAATATCAGCCTCTGAAGAGCTTCCCCTAAATATTTTATGAACACAGACTTTGAGCAAGCAGGAGGAAGAAAAAAGCAATGAGAGGAAGGGAGCTGGCTGATCCCACACTCTGCTGCCAGGCCAGTAGATGTTGAGACAGCTCAAATGTCGTGCAAGCTTATTTGAGATAATACGTGGTGCTTGTAGTATAATGTCGCTAACTTTTTGAAATCTCATTGGGGAAGGAGTCCCTTCCCAGCACATTCATCTCGTGTTGAAGGAATGAAGAAAGTCAGGCTCGGAGTTGTTTCTTCCGAATTTCTCTATGTTTATATTTCTTTTAAAAGTGATTGGCTCTCAGCTGCTGCAAATGCTTTTAAAAATACATGAAATCCGATTCTATGATTACTGCACTTGGCTTTCCAAAAACGTGATGTTGCTACTCTTTCTCAAGTGAGTGAAAGATAAAAGGGAGAGCCTGCCAACAGCTGAGTTAGTGGCTTATTTTATTTATGAATGAAATGGCAGGATTTTTGTGGGGAAAAGGAAAAGTTCTTATTAGCAGAGACAGTTGATTTCTTTTCCAACACTGGTTTTGGAGCAACTCAACTTTTCTCATAGAACATACTTTTGAAATGTTACATTAAAAAAACACAAACAAACAGTATTCTGCTCCTCCAAAAACTGAGCAAGGATTGGGTTTTACCATCAGTAGTAACTATTTG